TTCATGTCGAAAGTGTACAGATTAATGCAAGGTATGCTTGGAGAATTTATGCTGTATAAACGTTATGTAGATGATACTCTCATTACTGGTATTAATAGTAAATCTATTGAAAACTTTATTACCCTATTTAACCACATTCATCCAAATATCCGAAAGACTTCCGAACTAGAATCGAATAACAAACTCGGTTTCCTCGATATTAATATGACTGGGAGAGATGATGGCACGGTTCAACGATCTATTTTTCGTAAACAGACATGGAGTGGACAATATCCACATTTCACCAGTTTTGTTCATATCCAGTATAAAGGTTCCCTAGTGAAATGTGTGTTCTCAAGGGCCCGAAAAATATGCACGAGTGACACAGTGATGGATGAGTTTCGACATATACATTCAGTTTTATTAGCTAATGGTTATCCGGAAAACTTTAACACTTGTCACAGTAAGGAAAAACCACATCTCAAAAAGACAGCTTCTGTAACACAGAAAGCTATCTTTATTAACCTACCATTCAAGGGCGACCAGATTATGCAGTTGACAGCTCAGAGACGTCGGTCAGCCATCAAACTCACATTCTGCGCCGCATCTCTTTTTCTCATTTGTCGAAAATTTTCAAAACCAGTACCTATGATTAAAGGACGAAATTCTGTGGACTCTACTTCAAACTTTATCTACAAGTTCACCTGCAGCTGCAGTGTCACCTATGTAGGTAGAACCAACAGAATGTTCCAATGTCGTCGAAAAGAACATGTTCCAAAATGGCAACTAAATCATATAGAAAATCCCAACACGATTAATCTGAATAGAAATCCATCATCGTCATCCATTGCAAAACACTTATTAATGTCAGGTCACAAAATCAATATTATTGACTGTTTCAAAATGATTTCACGTAACTCTAATTCAAGGTTATTGAAGGTGATGGAAGCACTTTGGATTAGTCACATACAGCCTAAACTGTGTGTACAAAAATAAATAGACTTCAATCTTCGCCCAGCATGGACAACATGACCAATCTAAATAAGATTGGTCATTAGTATGAACTTTTGTATTTTTAATAAACTGCGTAATTGTCATGATCTTTATTTTATTATTGTTAACCATGTTAGTTGTAAAGTGGTTGTAAAGAAACTACGAAATGAGGATATCATCTCACGAAATTTGTCTTCTTAATGCCTTATTCAAATTTATCAAAGGGACTAATTGTTTTAATATCCCTCACTCGTTATAGATGAACAAATAAAACCCAAAAATAACAAAGAACACCCCATCTCTGTGCCGACGAAGACGCTATACATCAATTTGGAGTTCAAAAGTGACCTTCTGGCCGACATCCTAAAGAGAAGAATATCTAACGCCCTGACAAGAGCATTCTCTGCTGCTACATTACGATTGGTATTCTTAAGCCGCCCGTTATTCTTCAACGACTTTAAAGATAAACCATCCCATTTGATCACTTCTATGTGCATCTAGCAATTTACTTGTTCATGTAAAGCCAGATATATAAGTCGACGATGCGTATTTTATCTAAAGGAGTGAAAGAACATTATCCCGCTTGGCTACGAAAAGGTAACAGAGGACAAATAATGAGTGCTATAGTTGGACATATATTGAACATTGGTCACTCAATAGGTAAAGAGAGAATTCATTCAAAGTAACTTACAAAGTCAAAAGAAGCCTCCCGAAAACGGTACACCTCCGTATGCTTTGCATTGCCGAAGCCTTAGTGATCCGGATGGAAAACCCTGATTTATGTACTCTGAAGAAACTTCTCCACCCCCTCCTTCTTACTTGGGTATAATTCCAAGTTGTACTACTTTATTGCTAGTACTATTTTTGAATCTTTGTGTGACATTTTAGTAACATCTTTTTGCTGATTAATCATTTATTTACTCTTTCCACCAACTAGACAATTTATTTTGAACACTTGTCTCCACGCTTATTCATTAACATCCTATTTTTCTTTCGCATTACGTAACCCTAGTAAAGACCTACTAATGTTCAACTCCCCCTAGTTATAGTTTCAGTATTCATCAACAGAGGTGATGAAGATTCCTGGGCAACACCACCAACAGAAACAACAACAACAGACAACAATCAGCATAAATGGAAGGAATCTGAAAGAAACAACCTCTTTTACCTACCTGGGAAGCATGGTTTCAACTGCAGGCGGACGGAACTGACGAGGATATCAAAGCAAGAATCGGAAAAACAAGACAAGCTTTCACTACTCTCAAGTCTGTGTGGAGGTCAACAGCACTCAGAATCAAAAATAAGATCCGGATTTTCAACTCCAATGTGAAGTCAGTGCTACCTAACATGCGGATCAGAGACTTGTACTGCGCGTCATAAAGAGAATCTCAAACAAACTACAGACCTTCATTAACTGTTGTCTTCGCTCAATACTCAAGATCAGATGGCTGGCCAGAAAAGATCAGCAATAGAGATCTCTGGCAATGAGCGAACCAACTCAGCAGGAACCGGTTGTGAAACAAATAGGCAGGAAGAAATGGAGGGAGATGGATTGGCTGGCCATACTCTGAGGAAACAAACCATCAAGTGACATCACTAGACAAGCCATTGCTCGAGTGGAAGTCGAAAGGGAAGCGGCGAGTTGGTCGTCAGTGCAAGGGTGAGGGTGACTTGGAGGAGGTCATGTGAAGAGGAGATGAAAACGTGTGGGGAGACTTGGAGCCAGGTGAAGACTCTAGCAGAGAACCGAACGCATTGGAGACGCACGGCTGAAGCCCTATGTTCGTCTAGGAATTAAAGGAAACAATAATAATAATAAACAACAATCCTAACCTAATTTTTATTCTTTTCTGAGAAACCTAATGTACACATACACACATAGAAATATAATTATATATATAATTGCTATTGTACAGCCAAGTCACTGAATTCTCCTCCAAAAAGAGACTCTTCACTTAACTATTTGTTCTTACATTCATTCATTAAAATAATAATCCATGGACTTAGTGTGGCATATTATAAATAGCAAATAGTTTGAGGAGAACAATTATGACGTTTTCTTTTTCATCTAATCTCACTATCGTGATAGTTATCACTCTAGTGTTATTGTTGTACCTGGACTGTTTACAGCATGAAACTCTGGCTATTAACGAACCACGCAAAGTGAAGTGGACAACTGAATTAGCAGCTATCAGTTACCTACGTTGTTGAATAATAATAATAATCCATTACGGTTTAATGACAGTAACTCACCAGCAACATTTATATTCCGTTTGACTATAAAACGAGTCAATGAATTGCATTTCAGTTCACTTAGTTCCTGAATGAAGCACTGAACTTCAGCAGAACATCTCTATTTCATCCTATTCTCTGTATTTCTTTTCAGCTGGTTCTACAATTTCCCGTAAGATTTTATTACCACCTCACATGATTTCCTCTCTATCACCCCAGGGATGCCCTACTCGTCGTCTCGCATTTGAGTTCAAACTGAAGGCCTGTCTGGCGTGTGATTTCACTACGCCATCTACTCAGCATGTATCCAATACTTCTCTTCACTTCGTTGTGGGTATTCGTTTGGTGTTTAAATGGCTGTTTACCAGAGTTTCTTCTTACTTTTCCTTTCTAGCTGGCCATCTGATCTTCAGTGTGGATCTAGTGAAAGCAGCCGTTGGTGAAAGTGTGCAGTCTGTGGGTAATCGTGTAACTAGAATTCGATGTGAATATATAACAAAGTAATTGAAATAAAAGAAACAAATCAATGGATTTCATCTAAGCAGATGAAGGTAATTCGACCACTAATGAGAAATTATTTTTATCTTTACACATGATTCTTCACGCCTTCCGCAAAGCGAAACCACCATTCAAGCCTTCTTGATTGATAACAGTCATTCAAACTTGGAAAACGCGCTCGTGAACACTACCCAGCCTGGCTAGTAAAAGGAGACCAAAAACGTGTATACAGTTCAGTGACAGAACATCTGGTCAACTCAGGACATTCAGCGCCTTTCGAAAAATCCTTCAAAGTAATATACAAGATTCAATCAAACCTATCAAAGGGAGTGGAATCAAGACATTTGGGCATAGCTGAGGCGTTAGCTATCCAAAAACTCAAACCCACTCTTTGCATCCAAAAGAAATACGTCTAACCCCTGTTCCTGCCACGGCCATCATAAACACGTAAATTTTTTAATAATGACCATCCCATCGCCTTTCTTAGCTAAACTTCCTGTTTATTCATGTTATTTTAAGTTTTTCTTAATCCCTGTCTGCACTACCATATTTTCATATCCACACTTCCTGTTTATTTTGTCATTTTACCATTTCTTCATATTTAATCCCTGATTGCATAAACAATTATTCATCACACTAGTTTTTTATCCAAACATCCTGTATATTTTATTATTTCTACATTTCTAACCCCCCAAATGCACAATGTCAATCTTCTTAGTTATTATGCTACTATGTTTGAGTTTTACCCAACCCCCTGTTTATTATGGCATTCTAATTCCTAATTGTAATTTTCATTAATTCAACCCCTAACCAGTAATTGTTCTGGAACTTTCCCATCCATTTGATATAAATACACGAATGTACAGCCTAGATGATGACTTCGTCGAAAAGAAAATTTTCTTCGCTGCAACTGTCTTTTTATTCCCTATGATCAAATGTGTATATTTCGTCATTCAAACTTGAAATATACCAATTATAATCATCCATAAAGCTGCCTGCATGGTTCAACAATGATGCATTTCACTAGAGAACTAGGATAAATAAACCGATAAACACCAATGATGATTCAGTAGAAGAATCCTCACTGGCCACTTTGGAGATTCGAGTTCAATTCACGGCCAACCCTGCCTAGTTCACTAACAAACAGTTAACTCCGAAAAGAGAAGGAAGGTTGGGCGTGAAGTTAGTGATCCGTAAACACCGTAAAAATGCAACCTAATTGCTACTGAAACTTTAAGACTGCAGTCTTAAAGCCCCACTCGGAACGCAGAGGAATGCGAAATAACAACAACAACAACTGAGGAATGAACTATAAAATCAATGATTATTTAAAGCGAAATCAACCAAAAACAGAGAGAGAGAAAGAAAGAAACAAGACAAAAACCACAACAAAAAAAGCTAAAAATGTGAAATTATTACATGTGACAGATATAGATTCCTGTTTTTGACCAGATGAGAAAATAAAAAAGGCATACATTCGTCTTATTTTTAATATTTGCTGTTGAAACAAACAAACATATCCTTGCTGTGTTAGCCGAATATTTTATTTTATTGAAGAAAGCAATTGAAAAGACAAACATAAACAAATTCAAAATTTACACCAAATTTTGTCTGGATCAGTTTAAACAAATAAGAATCAACAAATGTGTAAACATTAAACTGAAAATTATATATGCAATGCAGAGAGAGGCAAGAGGAGAGGAGTTGATGGGGTTGCGCATGCATAAGGCGGCTTGTTTTGCCTTGAATTCTTTCGTCAGTTATACAGGGAAATGTTGAAAGAATATAACGGGGTGCGGCTGGACGGGATGGTAGTGTTGTGATGGTTTTAAATGATAGATTGAAAAAAAGAAACAAAAGAAAGGAGGGAGTTTTGATGTCTCCATCATAATGACATAAAAGAGCTATAGATGAATGATTGGTCAGTTATATGATTTATTACTATTACTACTATTTTCAGTAGTAATGGTTGTGTATTATTTCGGTAAATGTTGTCGTGTTTTGTAACCACGATAAATTGCTTGAATTTTAGTAGCTGCTGATTCAGGATCATAGGTGACAGTTTTTGAATTCAATGATGTACTGTGAACATTTCTACTTCTTTCATGCATCGTGGGTGTATATCCACGACAACTAAAGGAGAAATTATCATTTTCTTTATTCAGGATAGGATTCTCACGATCTTCATGATGTAATAGTGGAGCTAAAGATTTTCGTGTCTTATAACCTCGATAACCAGCTTGAATTTTTGTCACCGCTTTAACTTTAACATCATCGTCAACATCACCAGCATTATGGCGTGATTTTTGCCCGCCTAACTCACGATATGCAGGATATCGGCCTGTTGTCCCTATCGCTGTTGTTGATGGCATCTTTGTACATGACATTGTTGTATGCTTAGGCATATTATCATCTCTTAAAGCCTTCCGGGTTAAGTATCCACGATAACTGGCTTGAATACGTGTTGCCGCATTGTCTAAATCACAATAATTACTTGCTGGTGACTGTGGTGACATGCTCATACTATAGCTGTCATTACCAGATGATCGGTTATGACGTGGAGAAGAATGAACTAGATTCTCGTATTCTTTACGTGTACGATAACCACGATAACCGGCTTGAATTTTTGTTGCAGCCAACGATTCTCTGTCCAGTGCATCAGGTTGGTGATGTGGTTGTTGTTGATAAGAATAGGTTGTTGATCTCGTTGAACGGCTGAATGACATTATCTACAATTAAAACAAAAATTGAATTAAAATACTAAGGACTGACAATAAAATGGGAGATTTTTGTTTTGATAGAGCAATAAATTACTAAAATTCAATGATCTGTTTATAGTTAGATTGTTCAGCGAGGAAGAATAGTATGACTAGTCTGCTTACCACACCAGGTGTCAAATATTGACAAATTCTAAAAAAAATTAAGCTGAAGAGACAGACAAGTAATTCAGAGGACGGTGTCTGTCACTTTCTAGTCGGCTAGTGGTTGTGACTCAAACAAGCAACAGGCCACATAAGTGCGCATATATATTTACGAATTAAACCACCCTTGTGGAGACAGTTATACTGGGAGTACGACTAGTCATCTTATGCAGTGTCTTACATAACATCTGTCACTGTGATTGAATATATAGGACAGGCTATAACTGTCCACATTCAGTGTGGTTTATTGAATCCTGTAGAATCTATCTAACATTCTTCGCATTCACTAACTGTATTTTGTGCTGAGCCAGGTGGTATTCGAACTAATACTCTGAGACTTTGTGTTCTCAAAAATGTTGGTACAGCCATTATTTCTGATTCAACCGAAGGAGTTTGAAGGGGGTAATTACACCCCTCTCATATTATATGGTTTTGATACCTTTCTTAGTGTTTTTTTCAATTCTTCCTTAGTCTTATCAAATCCTTACCAAGACTGTATTTATCCGCTTCCCTTACAGTTGAGCCTTACGCAATATCACTGTTTCTTTCCTAAGCTTTTACCTCCTAAGATTGTTTGAACATTTGTTTGCATAACCATTCCATTTCTCCATCCCTCTTATTTCATATTTCTTCGTTGTCCATCACTGTTATCAGTAGCATTGTGATGCATATATTACTGACTGCTTTGGGTAGTAGTTTAACGGTAGAAAACAAGCGAATTTGGTAACTTTACTTACTGAGGGGAAAAAGCACATCATATTTATTCATTTTTAGCCACATTGAAATTCGGCTAGATTAGCGGATAACTGGTTGGCGATTGGCCCAAAGTTAAACAAAAAGAAAGTTGATAACGAGGTTATTCCACGCTCATGAAGTAAACGAGATACATATTTGAGGAATAAACACTTCCACCTCTACAGGCATTGACTTGAAATATTGATTTTGACTTTTAGTCACTTATTAATCTGCACCCATATACTACTTATATCTATCTTGTCCGTAGCACACGCCATAAAAGGAAACCGTTCAGGTCAACCGGTAGTGCTTGTTACCAAGATCGAAGTGGTGCACACGCTGGACGGTTGTGTTTCACTTGCTTGCGGTCAGTTTTATGCGTAAAGGTACTCGGTATGACTCCGTTCACACCTACCTACCTATTTAGATGAACTGTGTGATTTTCAAATTGAAAATTTGATGTTAATAGCATTATTAAGTGCGCTGGTGCGCTTCAAGAGTAGAATGGCTGCCAGCCGTGGATGTGATCCGGATTCTATTCTAGGCCGACATATTCCTAAATCCCACCTAGCCGGTAATAAACCGAGTAAAGAGGAAAGGCTGGGAGTGAGCCTAGCAATCTCACCCTGTAAAAGGTAACATCAAGCTAAAAGCTTGAATCCCTTTGTTCCACTCGGGACTCAAAGAAACGAAAAATTTGGCATTATTATTATTAATCTGACTAAACACATGTTCCATAGTTATCTTATCATCCTATGGAAAAATGATTAACCTTATTTATTTATTTATTTGTTTATATTTAAAGTTATGCATATTAGTGTAAAGCCTGAGGCGGGAAAATATTGTTTGAATAAATGTTTTCTTTTGAATTAACTCCCCATCACTGAACTAATTTTATATTATTTAACTCTATTATAGTGGCCATATATAATTAGCGAGAAATCCGATTATTATTCTACAGTAATTTAAGTGTTCTCATCATTAATCTTTACTCAACAGAAATGTGAATTAATTCGATGCTGTGAAGGGGAACATACATTCAGCTGATGATCACTAAAACAGTAGAGGAGAGTTAAATACAAGTTGGGTCAGATCATTAGTAGTAGTAGTAGTAGTAGTAGTACGTCGGTGGCACAGTGGTTAGGACTTTCGCCGACCATGCACATGGTCCGGGGTTCGATCCCCTGCCGGCGCACACCCGATATCTATGGTCGGCCTGTAAATTTGGGCTACCGATATCCATGCTGAAAATTCCATACTTGTACTGAAAATACGGTGTGGAATCAAGCTGTAATCAAGATAAAAAAATAAAAAAAAAAATGGTACATTCGTGTTTTGATTTTGAGTGTCAGACGCCGTGGTGGATCAAGGCTTAGTGCTTGTTAGGACTGATCTTTATACACTGGTCTACGGTAGCGTTGTTTTTTATGAAATGAAAAAGTTACACTTAATTGACCATCCAGTTCCAACTCAAGTAGCTAAATGGTCAATAAGTCTGGTCTCTTAACCTGAAGGTACAGAGTTTGATTCCTAGTGAGAACGTTGGTTTGTACCGAAGAGTCCCAAACTAGGACGAAACACTCGTCCAGTGCTTCCTTTTTCTTGGTAATCTCTCTATGAGTGATGTTGGTTCGTGACGAAATCTATAGTGAAATAGTATGATACACCAGTGGATATATCCTTACAACGAAAGAGCGATAATCCAAATGAATAATAACAATAATAATAAATACAAGAGCAAATTCATGCATGTGCCTATACACTCTAGATAGTTAGTGATTATGAATAAATAAGTAGAATGTGTATAAAACAGTACAGGTAGAGAGGAAGCTATTTCATTTCTGTTGAAGAGGGGAAGAAAGTTCAAGCTTGAAGCCCAGTACTCAATGCAGAAATTAAAGGACTGGAAAGAAGCAATAAAGTCAAAGAGAATAGAATATCTTGACTTATTCAGGCAGGAAATTTCTATCGATTAAAGTGAATCAGGATTTATATCATTTCCCAAAAAAATGCTTCTCTCCAAGTTACTTTTGAACATTTCTACAGTTAACGCCATTTCACTTTTTCAACAACACAATTCGGGATGGGTAAGCATAACTGAAGAGTGTCAAACTAGGAAGAAACAGACATTCACTAATCTATGGTTTTCAACCTTTCTCTCAGGATAAAATCTACATTCACATTTCAAATTGGTCAGATTTGTAAAAGAAAGGACAACATACTTAGAGCAGTGTTTACATAGACAATCGAATGAATTGTATTCACTTTTAACCCATCACCTTATAAGCTATTACATGAATTCAACAGATTAATTTCTAAATCGAATCTTTTCGATATATGCAACTGACAGGATGAATTTTAATAACGGAACATTGAATTAATAAATTTAAGGGAGGAGAGAGAGAGGACCTAAATCACAAGGTGTGAATGTTGATTCAGTTTATTGTGTATTCTATTTTTTGTGAGTACTGTCCAGTTTCAGCGTACATTTCATCCTAAATTGAAATCACTTTAAAAATGATTAAAAATGAGGGAGAACTAGACAACCATTTCGTCCCAGCTTGAAACTCTTCATTAGCGTGCACTTACTATCACACCAGACACAGAACCCAGGAATTTTAGGCTACGAAGGGAGCCTGTTGACCACTCATCTACTGGATTTGTATTCTAACTTTTGTCTATTCGCGATATGGCATTACAGATGACCACTGCCTTCGATGACCATATGATTCACAACTGACATTGGTGTACACCACCAAGTACCGCCTCTTATTAGAACTTCAGTACAATTCATCCTGCAACCAACAATTATCAGGAGACTGATATTTAGTTTCTTTTGGGGCTTTAGGAATTTCTACTAATCCACCGAAGTAAGTGTATATTTGAAATGAAAATCTCAGCTGTCGAATTATTTGAACCAGTACCATTTGATTTATTTATGTTTTCTGAGCTGGTTGATTTAATCGCGAAGCTTTCGTTGTCCTTCTAAACAACATCTACAGTGTCGGTTTCAGTATGAAATAGACTTATTTGAATTTTCCATGAATGATGCAACTGTACCTTCTGACAACTATTGTTGTGATTAATTGTCAGGGATAAGATGGAACAAGAGGCAGTTAGTTGGTCAAGATTATCGACTAAATGATTATATGAAAATTACAATCAATAAAACTATTGGGGCAAAACATGAATAGATGTTTATTTGATCCGTTTCAGTTTCAGGAGGTATGTTTTATATTCAGTGGTGTTACAGAAGTATGAATACTACAAACATGTAGACAAATAAATACATTGCGATGAATGTAAGTTGGATAGATGAATGTAATGATAAAATTAAGTCATATAATGAAATGCAATCAAATAATGAGACAATATAAGCTAAATGTCAATTCTAAGGGTGACAAATAATGATAATAAATAATAATAATGGTGTGAAGTAAACAAAGGGAAAAAGGGTACTGGTTATTGTATTCTAGCATTGCTTACAGAGTCTGAAGAGGATTTTTTGTTCTGAATACAATGTCAAGTTCTGAGATCCACGAATGACAGATAATGTGAACGTTTTAATATAATAGATACTTTCAATGAATAAAACAAAATTGTTCACACTGCCATGAGAATTTTTACATAAGATATAAGTAGCTAACAAACAGCTGGAGTGATAAATCAGGCATCCGATTCACTTACAGGGAACAAAACAGGACAGAAACTTTGAATTGTTGGTATTGGATTAGATGGTTGGAGGCAATCGCCTGGAAGCCTTGCCCGACCTGGGTTTCGTGCTAGTTGGCACTGACCAGTCAGCAAGGTGTATCTGTAACCTTGAAGGAATTCATGTCCCTTCTGAAACTCGCCGTCACCCAATGCTGCAGTCAGTGACTTTACAACTGAGCTATTCTGGCTCACGATTGACCTCCTGTGGGACTGTACTGGATACTTTTGATTGGACACTAGTTAGTATCTAGTCCTTTGTTTGGTGCCAACTAGAATGGTAGCCAAATTACAAACGTGAATGATAGAATTCAGTCTGCATCAAACAAAGGACTAGACACATAACACTAGTTACTAACTAT